AAAGAGTGTGGTGGGAGCTGATGGTTGGAGGGGGCTTCTGGACACTTCAGCCGGAGTGAAATCTCAATCAAGAGACGCACACTGAGGATTGGCAGCTGAAGGCTCGGGAGATCGGGATCAAGATGATGTTCTGCTGCTGCTGATGTGCCTGGCTGCCTGTTTGCGCACTCGCTGTCCTCCCTCCCTCAACGACGCCACGCACATTTGCTCCTTTTCTCTCCCACTCTCTCCAATGTAACAGCCATACAGAGTAAAGTTAGTCAGGACGCGAAGGCTGTTCCCATCACGGCTTTCAAAATAAAAACACTTCTGTCAATGCACAAAAACGACAAGAGCGCAGAAAGAAATGTGTTACAAATCAACTATAACAGCTGAATTCCCAGTAAAATGCCATGGGAGCACACTATTACAGCTTGTACTTATTGCCTTAAGGGACCAGAGGTAGTGCCCCCTAACTAGAAAAGTTGCTTCTAAAATAAATGTTTTGATGCTACGTGAACTAATTTATTTTGAAGGTTCTTATTTCCTGTATTTATTGAGTATCTGTAGCTTGAGTCAGCTGGTAGCACAAGCCATCCTTCCTCCATTCAAATAGCTGTGCGACAGACGGGGGCGCGCATCAGGCCACCTCCTCTTCCTGATGTCCACACTCTCTGCACTGTCCTCTCCCCAAACCTGGGATTATGAGAAGAAATCAAGGATTTATCTTGGTTATTAGAGGCATTTGGGGGGGGACTGACTGAAGTGTACTCAGCAATCACCTAGGGGCTGCTTTTCAACTACATTTGTTGTTCTTATTAACGCATCTGGTTCAGGATGAGCATTTAAATGTGTAAGAACACCAACACCCTCAGTCTGTCGTCACTGGTTATTTAGAGGAGTCCGAGTGTGTGAAATGCAACTTTACAAAGGGGCAGGGCACGTCTCCTTGTCTCTCCTAACTGGAAACCTCTGAACAACAAGCTTGTTAATAAGGTAGGGCCTATATTTTGAAGGAGCATGTTTTCCTCTGGATGTGTCAGATTCTATTCAATAAACAAGCGGGAGAGATGCACTGAAACCTCAGTAAATCTAATTCTGCATGAAGTCATCCCCTGGAGAAATGAGTATCTCTCTCCATCAGCTGCGTGTGTGCATCTGTACCTGTCGCGTTGCCTTTTACTGCACTGCTATTTGTTCTCTGATCTTCCCATTTCAACTGGAGGGCACAGTAGGTGTGACACATTTGCACCAGAACAAAACATCTGTCAGATTCACCCATGCAACAGAGAACACACAAAGCTGTGTGTGTAATTTGTTCCAGGTGCGTCTCTGTCCTCGGTAACAAAATGCTTTGCAATTGCACAACATGGGAAAAGGTGCCCCCACCTTTTTCCCCCTAGTTTTCTCGCAATCAAATCCTAGGTTCAAGACACTTGGTCCCCTTGGGCCCCTCCTGAGTGAGTCTCGCATCTCTCAACCTATTTGCCAAGCTAAGGAGAGGGAGAGACAGCTAGTCCTGTGGCCACGTCATCTTTGACTCAGTCAGTCAGCAGGGGACACAGGTGCTCTGCTACAGAAAGCCCCACCGCAGTCAGCAGGGTTGCTGCACAGCGTTTGTCTCCTCACCGATGGGGAAGATGGGGCTGTTCAGGTACATAGGACACACTGCAGGGCATAGATCTCACAGCAGGGGAGGAAAAACCCACCTGATGGAAGGAAGACAGGCTATAGCAGCAGCACCTCTGCGTATGCACATAGATGACTCAGTGAGAACAAATACAGTTGAAGTCAGAAGTTTACATACACTTAGGCTGAAGTCAAAACTGATTATTTTAACCACTCCACAGATGTCACGTTAATAAACCCTTGTGTCGGCAAGTTGGTTAGGACATGTACTTTATTAAACCCTTGTGTCGACAAGTCGGTTAGGACTTGTACTTTATGCATAGCAAGTATTTTTTCCCAACAGTTGTTTACAGATAAATTGTTTCACTTATAATTCACTATATCACAGTTCCAGCGAAGTTGATAGGCTAATTGACATCATTTGAGTCAATAGGAGGTGCACCTGTGGATGTACTCTGTTTGACATCATGGAAAAATAAGAAGACATCAGCCAAGGTCCTAGAAAAAAATAATTGTGGACCTCCACAAATCTGATTCATCTTTGGGAGCAATTTCCAAAAGCCTGAAGGTACCACGTTCATCTGTACAAACAATACTACACAAGTACAAACACCATGGGACAACACAGCCATCATACAGCTCGGCAAGGAGACGTGTTCTGTCTCCTAGAGATGAATGTACTTTGGTCCAAACAGTACAAATCAATCCAATAACAACAGTAAAGGACATTGTGAAGACACTGGAGGAAACAGGTACCAAGGTATCTATATCCACAGTTAAACGAGTCAGATATTGACCTGAAAGGCTGCTCAGCAAGGAAGAAGCCACTGCTCCAAGACTGCCACAAAAAGGCAGACTACGGTTTACAGCTGCACATGAGGACAAAGATCTTACTTTTTGGAGAAATGTCCTCTGATCTAATGAAACCAAAGTTTAACTGCTTGGCCACAGTGACCATCGTTATGTCTAGAGGTAAAAGTGGGAGTCTCGCAGGCCCAAGAACACCATCCCAGCCATGAAGGACAGGGGTGGAAGCATCATGTTGTAGTGGTGCTTTGCTGCAGGAGGGACTGGTACACTTCACAAAATAAATGGCATCCTGAGGAAGATTATGTTGATACAGTGAAGCAACATCTCAGTACACCAGCCAGGAAGTTAAACCTGACTCAGTTCCACCAGTTCTATCAGGAGCAAGTTATTGTAAGAGGCTTGTGGAAGGTATCCTGAAATGTTTGACCCAAATTAAACAACTTAAATGTTCTTGCTCCTCAGGAAATTGAAAAAAAAAACTATTTCCCAGACCTGCTAATTTTGAGACATGAAGCGAGCGACTCCCTCTCACACACCTCTCCAAATAAATCTGTGGCAGGGAAGCAGCAGCAGTAGTGTTTTGATTTATTATTATTCTCTATCCGGAAAAAAAAAGAAGCTTAATTGATGGCTACTCTGGCACATTAATTTACTGAACCATACTTTCCATCATGCCATTAATGATAACAACAAACAGATACCAGTGAAGTGATGTAGTCTGGCTGACTCACACTGAACATTTCTGCTGATTCACAGTCAACCCTTGTTTTCTACTTCCATTCAACACAGATTAGGCAAACTTATCTCCATTTACCTGACTCACAGGGCCTAGAGCAGAAAAAATGAATGCAAATTTTATTCTGAATTAATGTACAAAAATGAAGTTTTCTCTAAAAAATGAGCTGTCCAGAGCAGAGAAGCATTTTATCTGCATGCAAACAAAACATCAGGGGGTAGAGGTGTCTCTCTGGATGGATAGGATGTCTATGGGCGTCACATTCGACTTTGTCACACCAGCACCTTAAATGCAAATTCTGTTGCATCTGTCTGTACGTGTGTGGCGGCAACTGTGAGCAGAAGAGTGGCAGATAAGGAGGCGAATGCCACCCTGGATCCATGGATCTCACTGAGCACACTGCAATGTTTTTAGAGAATCCACTCAATTTTAGAGCTGATCGATCAGGTCAGCTAAACCCGCTCAGTGAAAACACACAAATCAATGACCTCAAGTTCTGCTGATCCTCAAAATGGTGAGAAAGAAAGACAAGAGCTGGGTCTCTCTGCCACTCAGGGTCATTCTCATCGGCCGTGCAGTTTCTCCTGAAGAGATTGACCTGCCAATCCGTTATTGATCCAGGGAGTACAGCGGAAGGAGGTGAGACACTGTTCTGTGTCAAACTCCAGCCTCCTTTCTGGGGACTGCTCCCCCAGACAGAGGCCAAGCAGGTTGGAGTAGAATTAATCACTTCTTGTTTCTCCTGTCTCCAGGCCTCAGGGAGGTCATGAGTACAGGCACGCAGCACACATCCAGACACAAACTGGGCCCTTATCTTCTTTTTTCCCTCCACCTTATCCATATTTCTCTCCTGCCTCGAACCTCCTCCTCGTCTCTTTCTGTGGCTTGTATGCTGACGTTCTGCTGTGCTGGACAGAAAACATGAGGCCTCACACTCTGTAAAACCTAGTCTAGTAGTCTGCATGCTGACAGCTAAGATTTTATATTTTTGATTAGAGAAGGATTGCATGTTGCTGATAAAGCAGCTTCCCTTGAGCGAGAGAGAGAGAGACCCCCCACTCTCTCAGCAAACTTCAATGATCCTCTCAATTGCTCTCTGTAAAAACAGGAGCATGATATTCTGTCACTCATTGACCACACACTTTCGATGAGGGGCTTTTTTTTTTTTTTTAGCTACAGCGGAGGAGAGCTGGTGTACCCTTGTCCTCTACAGGGATATATTAAAGAGATCAGTAGAGTGATTCCAACAGTCAAGGTTATCTTCCCCCTGTGTCCCTTTCAGCTTACTCCCCTCTCACCTCAGCTTATCATATGATTTAGATTCATCCACTCACCAGAACAGAAAGATCCAATCTAAATAACACACAGACCTTGTTTATATAAATATTTGTATATCCCACATTCATCACGAGTTTCTTGGCTGGATGATGCAGCCTGAACTCTCTTCTCATTCAGACCACCTCTTTTACTGTAAAATACAAACATACCCAGCGACGTTGTGCCACAAGGCTCCCTGGGACGTTCATGCTCAAATGTCAGAGCGTTTCATCCTGATGATGACAACTCACTCCCCTCACTCTTTGTCTGCAACAATAGCACCAATTAATAGTGCAACCCTCCTCACATGCAACTTTAGGAAAACGACCACTATATCAAATATTAAAGCAGGACA